CAAATTCAACATGGTAGCTCCATCCTCTATGTATTTGCCAATATACAGGTGGAGAAGGCAACTCAGCAGCCATTTAACCCAACCTGTGCCTGAACAAGAATCCCTTCTGTGCCATTCCCATCAAAGTGGTCATTCCATTTACGCTTGAATAACCTCAAGGGAGGGGTTCTACCTCCAATGCACTGGGACAGACCTAATGGTTATAAAGTTTTCCTGATGTCAAGCCTACATTTGCTTGTCTGCCACTGCCCACTCTGGCCAAATAGTAATAATATGACTAATAGTTATATGGAGCTTGCTCTATGCCAGATGCTGTGCAAAGAACTTTACAATTATTGTCTCATTTGATACTCACAATAACCCTTGGAGGTAGGTGCTGTTGTTATGCCCATTTTACAGACCATTTTCTTCATGAAGTGTAGTCAAGTGCTAGAAGGAAGGAAGGAAGGAAGGAAGAAGGATGGTAGGAAGGCAGGAAGGAAGGAAGAAAGATGGTTGGAAGGAAGGAAAGGAGGGAGGGAGGAAAGGGAAGGAGAGAGGGAAGGGAGGAAGGAAGGAAGGAAGGAAAGAATGAATGAAGAAACAAAGGAAGGAGAGATGGAAGAGAGGAGGGAAGGAGGGAAGAACCACATAGATAGCCTCTGCCTACTTCATAGCCTTACTTCAAGCCTGCCCTTCTGGGAAGCACAAACAGAACAGAGATCTGAGTGTTCAGAGATCTGGGAAAACAAACGTCAAAATTCTCACCATCTCCTGAGTCAAGGACACACAGATCGAAATAGGAAGATAGGAAGTCCAGGGGAATGGGTGACGTAAGCAGGGCAGAGAGATAGGTGACCTGGAGGTCTCTGTCACAACAGGGCCTGTTGGGGGAGGGGGGAGCTGCAGCTTTCAGGGAGATCAAGAGGTTTTACAGCTTCCTTCAATTTTGGTGGTAGTCCTCTTGACAGGAGGAAACTGAGTCTCAGAGAAAAGCCCCAAAGTGCCTAGGATTGTTGCTACATCCAACAAGTCTGAGGCTCCAAGCTGGGCGCCTGAGTTTGGTCACTAGTTAAGACTCTACTACCCCTAAGCTCCCTTGAGGCAAGACTCTTTGCCAAGACAACCCCAAACAGGGTCACAAACTGAACAACAACTGACCATTTCTGTGCCTCAGTTTTCTCCATGTGTTAAATGGGAGAACATAACCCCTTTCCTGACTCCCAACAACTTTCAGAGCATGATTATATATGAATGCTTGGTCCTCTCAGAAATGCTCAGAAAATGATATCTGGGCATTAGAATCTCTTCTTTCACATCAATTTGCTGTGTGACTAGAGGAAAAACACAAGCAAAAATTTCCTCATTCAATTTCATAAACATTTATCAGTTGCCCACTGTATACAAAATACTGAGTTAAGTGCTGAAGATAAAAAGATCGAAAAAAAAAAAACTCAGTCCCGGTCCTTAAGGAATTTATGTTCTGCTTGAAGGGATGCAAAAATATGTGTGTGTATTGTGTATTAAATATATATATACATATATATGAGCGTGTGTGTGTACACATACGTATGTATTGGCTAACATCTATGTGTAGTTTTACACACACATGTGTGTACATACATATTAATATACATATGTATATTATATATACATACATATTACACATACATATGTGAGTATACATTGCATACTCATATATGTGAATACATGTGTATATATACATGTACACATATATATGGTTAATCACTATGATATGGACTATGTCATGTGTCACAAATGCATAGAGAGTATACAACGTGTATCCAGAGGGCTGGGGGAGAGAGGTTAGAGACCCTCATTTTACTGGTTTTTGTTCTATAGGCAACAGTGAAGGTGGTATCTGCCTTGGACTATTGAAGCCACAGATGAGGGTCCAGCCTTGGGCAGAATGTGGACATAATCACCCAGTACTCTAGATCAGAAGATTATAGATATAGAACTCTAAGGAACCTTGGATGAGGAGATGGAAGGTCCAATCCTCTCATTTTAAGATAAGGAAACTGAGTCCCAAGGACAGGCACAGCCCCAATAGAACCCTCCCTTGTGATGTGAAAGTTCAGTTAATTCCAGGTTGGTAGCACATTTCTGAAATTCCTGCTATTAGGGGAGGCTGGGGTTTGGTGGATGGCTTGAGTTTGGGAGTTCTGAGCTACAGAGGGCTAGGCTAAGAGGAAATCCACACTAAGTCTGACACCCGTCATCTTGAGTCCACAGTAGCAGGGAGCCACCAAATTAACTAAGAAGGGATGAACTGGCCCAGGTGAGAAATAGACCAGGCCAAAGACCCCATGCCCTTGGGATTGGGCCCATAAAGGGTAGCTGCACTTGTACTCTGACTGAGATAGGGACATTTGATCTCCAGAACAAAAGAAGAAAGAAAGAAAAGAAAGAAAGAAAGAAAGAAAGAAAGAAAGAAAGAAAGAAAGAAA